AGTTACTATGTTTACCATATGCCAGAATTCGTGAACCAAAACTATCGTTGGTAGTTTAATCGCAAACAGGTTGCACTTAAAAGTTTACATTGTAAAATGAGATAGACAACAAAAATATGTTTAGTTACCCCATGATATGTTGGAAATCGTAATATATGTGTTAGGTACATGTTCAATGGCTCTTCTGAAGACGGGTCTATCATTTCATTATTTGATGCTGAAGTATCGTGAGTTAGTAAAATATAATTTGCTGTTGTGGTGTCGGATCCCTTTGACAAGTTTTTGATCTCTTTAAGTGGAAAACAAACTAATTGTTCATTGGTAATTGAATCCATAACGCTAGAAAAAAGTAAGATAAAATAATACAAAGAAGGAAATCTCGTGGCCGAGTAAGTAACGGACTAATAAGTAAAAGTGGCAAATGTGTCTAACAAAATAGTTTTAATAATGAGATGCGGTAATTAAGCGAAATTGTGTATACTGTTCGTTACACATGATAAAGTTATACAAGTAAGATGCGCAGGTTATAATTAATAAAGCAGAGCTACTAGATGAGATTTCAAGTGAAAAATGGATGAAAAAAAATCTTTGCGTGAAATGGACTTACCATAAAATCTCCTCTCTGTTGGTTGAAATTGATAAATTTACGACAGTGAAACAGTCTGTCGAATTGTTTTCAAGAACATGAAAATATTTGTTTACTTCAGTTTTGTTCCATGATGACATATCGATATTTGGGGAAAAAAATTGAATGTCTTCGAAATAAATGCATCGGGAGTCCGGATCGTTCGTTTTACCAAGTGAAGGAGTCGAATTCATATCGCAGTTTCGGATTATTTGAGGTAAGGACTTGAATATTCTCCTAACCGCCTACAGGAATCGGATGATTTGGATAACTACCTTTAAGGAAGTTAAATTATATGAGTTAGCAAGTTGTCGTTAAGAGAAAATTTTATTCCAAATAACCACTGAATTAAAATAATTAAGTCCGATTAACTGAAATTTACACCAACCACTTCATCACATCAGATTACTTAGGAGCATTTATTTACGAAAATTCGTGGTGTCTAGTATTTACAAACACTTTCATAGGATCATAGACAGCAACAAATGTTTAGAATATTTGCATGAAAATGCACAAGCAAAAACATGTATTCACTAACCTACGACTCTAAGCAAATGAACAAAGATATAAAAACACACGCTTTATTGAATTTTATAACCAATTTTAAGCTAGCATATTAATATTAGATAGAAGTTTACGTCACAACCCAACTTTCGGTGTCTCTGCTCTTTTCATTAACTGTTCATTGAGTTCTGTTGTGAGAAAAGCAGCATGTTGATAAGCACATCGAGTAGATTAAAATCTGAACAGGCATTAGGAGATGAGTAAAGTGAATTCTTAATTTCTAATGTTTTTAACAAAACTAAATAGTAACAGAGAGGGTTTATTTTAGAGTTACGAATCTACGCTACAAAACGATTTATCGACACCACTTATGAAGCAAAAAACTCAAATACCTGTAACCTCCATTTACTTTAAGTAATTTAGTGAGCTTTAACTTAACAAGATAAAGGTGATCGTAATCAATTTAAAAATTACGAACTAAATTTGAATTTTGAACTACAGAATAGCATAACGGTCATAGTGTAATCGATTCAAATTCAGTCATTCAGATAAGTGGGTTCTTGTAACAAAATTTTACTGAAGTGAAGTTCACGACAAATCGACAGTTCATTTGCCTAAAAATAACGGAATATATATATATACATATAATATCGTTATTGAATCAAATTAAATCCCACTGAAGAATGGTTGGTTCTAAATCAACCAAAATCATTAAATAGAGAGTATCAATAGTAGTATGACATATCGCTGCTAATAAAACCAAGAAAAATATCCGTTTCAGTAGGGCTCGCAGAAAAAATAAAACTATACTGAAATTTAAGATTCCTGCAGCACTAAAATCTAGATGCCTGGTTTCTGACATTATGAGTTAGATTTCTGTAAATGACAGATTATTTTAGCACTAACTCCACCCATACACCAGTTAATATCAGGAGCTTGGACCCTTTTTAATAGTTAAGTACCGTACGAGCCAATTTCAGCGCGATTAACTAAGCGTTGAATATATAATTTAAGATCCAATGGTAAATATATTTGTGATGAACTTATGTAAACTGACTGATTTCCTAGCTATCGCGTTTTTTGTCTCGTAACGGTTTCATGTCTTAATGTTAATGTACAACGTACAGTAGTCTAAACACTCAGATGGACAAATCCTCGTCAGTTTATTGGTTATTTGTTTGTTGTATATTTTGTGGTTGACGTGAGTGCATTCATCTCAAAGCAACAAGGTTTTTGGATTTCAGTAGGTACAAAATTATTAGGCCGAAGGATAGTCGGTTTGATTGTGAAAAACAATGTAAAGTATATTTGGATGCCATGAGAAGACAGTTGTTTCAAGTACCACAAATAAACAAATAGTTAGTAATGAAATACTTCTGCCTAAAAGTTACACCATCACATCGGCAATGGACGTAGCTACCACGTGAGTTACGTTTAAATGTTGAATCGCTGGACTTAGCCTACTGGGAAGGAAGAACTCAACGATAGTTGAATCACATATTTTTATTTGGTTAAGTTACCAGAAGTTTAGAACCCATTTTACACCATTTCTTTTTGCTTATTGTTTTTACTATGGGTTGGAGTATGGATGAGAATGCGGTCCTGATCATTTAGTTGGAGACTCGGCCTAAGTGTTTGAAACATGTTCTCATTACATAGTGTCGTTCCGAGCTTTCTTACCAACGTTTTGCGGGATACAGTGCTTTCCAACTTGTTATCCTAACTTCAGTTAAGATGTCTACTATTCGTCAATGTAGTTCGGTTGTAACTACTGTTCACAACGTTTTTACCGTTCATGTAACTTAATAGATAAAAGATATAATGTAAGTCAATAAAAGAAGAAAGCATACAAGGTGTAAATTTCGATTGAGAAAAATAGTGAAAATAGCACATACAACCTAAAAAAAACACTCTAGACTGAAATGTTACCCTTAACCATCCTAGTTGCCAACCTTGCATGAATCTGCAAGTTTTTGGTTTGAAAATGAATGAATGATGTTACGTTGTAGTTGGAGCAACTAGAAAAGTAGATGATTGAGAGAGCATGGTAAAATAGTATGTCATTACCGTAATAATAGACCTAGTCCTAAAATTGTAGATTTGTCGTGGTGTGATTAACTTATAATTAAGACTTCAATTGCAAGTCACATCACAGACTATGATGACTCGTTCTACGCGACGATGAGTATTATGACGTTTAGCACTTCTGAAGAAAACATTTGAATTGGGGAAAAAGTGACCTATTCGATACAAAAAGCAAGAGATTACATACATGTATGATCGATGCATGCCATTTTGGTTAATTGTTCCCGAGTTCATCATTTCCTGACCTCTGAGCACCACATGCTTAATTTAAATCTCAGTAATTACACGCTCAGCTTCAAAGATCATATTGGCTAAGAGCCAGTGACGTTACGAGCTTCATTTATCACATAGTGTTTCAACCTTGATGTGATTATCTATGTCCTATTTATTACTGTGCTTTTCTATCACCAAAAAAGACGCGGTTTCGTTCCTGGAAGTGGTGTACTACTTCACGTAGGCAGAGAAACCTAGATCAAACTCAAAAACCTCACTGCAAAACTGCCAAATAACTTCCCGTAGAATTTTAATCGCTAATGTACCCCCATACTAATTACATTTCCTCTCAGGTGAGCTATGTGAAAGGATATAAACTCATATTTAGGCTTGAAGTTGTGTGACGAGGTCAGAAAGTGACGGCCTATAATGAATCCATTTTGTTAGTTCCTTTGAGTATCTTATAGACTCCAAGAGTTGAGTACACAGAGTGCAAACTTGTACGTCAGCAGTAATTTCTGGAGCTACATGCCCGAATAGAATGAGCAGTCTTCTGAACATCAAAATGACCATATGATCCGATTGCTTCATCATTATCTTTCATGTGGACACTTCTTTTGTTCTGTCTATTCACCTTCATTATGGGCAAGTACATTGGGTCTCGATTTATTTCATATTACTTAAGTTGACGGTTAAATGGCTTTATGTGGTTGTTCGCGTAATCTTTAATCGTTGTGGAATGCTTATTTTGAGTAATAGCCTACGTGTCCTTACGGTATAACGAATTCATTGTGAGATAAAAAAACTTTCAGTCTACTCAATAAACCACTCTAAAGTTCCACTGAAACGCAGCATCACACATAATTTTCTCCACTGTGGCAGTATGTCCGAGCGAATACTAGAAATAATAATGGTGCATAAGAATATGAAGTTTCACCACGCTGATTCTCTGTCACGTATCCAAGTGAATGCAGCTACTTCACCGGTGTTCGATTTTCCCACTATGGCCGTCGCCCAAGCAAACAATCCCTTCTGTACAGAAGCACAACAATCTACATCCCTTCAGTGCCAGGAAGTACCCCTAGCTACTAGCTCAGATGCTATCCTATGTGATACTTCTACCGGTCTTCCTCAACCCACCGTATCCTCTGCTTACGTAAAAAAACCTTCGTTGGCAACTCGAGGATCAACAATCGCTTCCTGTTTAGCCAACCCTTCGTAGTACAATGGCATGTTTGCCGATCAGTCACACGAACTAAACCGCTACCTGTCGAAAGTGTAAACCCTTTCTAGCGGGAGGCTCCTGTAGTGACCTACTTTTGTCAAGAGAACGCGATTGGTTTAATGTAAACAATCATTATTATAACCAATCGTACCAGTGATTGTTTAACTGGTGCATAAGAATATGAAGTTTCACCACGCTTCCACGGGATGTAAAACCATTCATTCTTCATTTGTTGTATGGTTTTGCAAAAAGACTTAAAGATTGTATAAATGTAGTGGCATTGGGCCCTACCACGAGACAATATGAGAAATAGACATTAAACATTTAACACGGTGAAATACAGAAGAATGGAGAAGGCGGGAATAATAAGTTGAATTAACACGAGTTAATCTTATGGCATGGCTCGACCATGCAGGCGTGATCCCTCCTGCTAAATGTTACGTTATGTCTTTTATTCATATTAAATATATTGTTCCATCTCTAGCCTAAGCTTGTTCTCTATCACGTATTGGTAATTGTTACAATGCGATGAATTGGTGTAGACGATGATGTAACTTCCACGTAAGATCTAATAGATTAGGCAGTTACATCATGATAAATCTACAATTTTAGGATTACGTCTATTATTAGAGCAGTGCTAATATCATAAAAGACCGTAATTCAAAATTGGTGACCCCGACTTGAGAAACTCAACCTCTAATTCTTCATCCATATTTCCACTTTAACTTTTCCGATCGATATTTACTTATGTAAACCCATTATTCTAATAGTCCTCTGATTAATGCTCATATGTATTATCTTAACATTATATTGATTATTACTCATAACTTACTAGCTTAATCAATAATAAAAACTGATCATCTACATCAACTAAGTAGCTTTGATGGTTCGTTAACAAGCTTTAATAGCATTAACATGCTTCAGGGAAACAAACTTGTTTTAACGTCAAGCTCTAGCAAATATGACATGTAAATAACCTAAATATACATGGGCTAACAATGCAATCAAGGACTAAATAGTTATCTGGATCTGATTCTTAGTGTTCCCTCACTTAACACATCCTATTTTTAAACTATACACTATCCTGCAATATCTTTTCTTCCGACCACTGCCTGCCTAATTTCCAATTGCTGAGTTCCATGGCCAAACAGGATGCAAATGCTAGAAATTTACGGTGAGTTTGAACTATAGATTTCCTGCGATCTTAGGTCTCGTTTAGACTGTTCGTCAGGCAATGCTACATATTTGGCTTAAATTAATTTTGGACTTACACAAATCCAGTTTTCAATGCTGGGTTAATCCAATAATTTAGTCGACAGTATCTCGTGTATAGTCCAGATTCGAATTACTGTCCAATTCAAATCATCATTACTTGGAAGCGAAAACAACCCAGGTGAGTTTTACTTTTTCCCTTTCCTGGTTCATTTATTATGATGTAAGTACTTCTTAACTTAGATTTTTTCTGTTAGATTGGTTTTGTATATTTCATACGAGCCACTCCCAGGACTAAGTAGAAATATTTAATACTTTTATACCACAGCATTCTACTAAGAAAACGTGCTGTTTAAAGGCATTTCTTATTTTTAGTTCCCTTTGCACACATTTATAAATATCGCTAGGTTAACTACAGCGACGTCTTATGTAAAGTTTATAACTCATCATATTCTTAACTGAAATTCCATAAGTCGTCTCGATTTAGAAAAATATTTTTCATTTTGGCCCTGTTTATTATTTTTAATTTGCCATATATCTCAACAACCTGCATGTTAATCTGACCCGTACATGCATTGCATTATATCTCTATGCCTCTTAAATTTAAAAATCATCTGAATCGCCTTTAACGTTTTCAATAAACCCGTCATAGACATTACTGCTATACGTATTTGGGTTTACGAATTGGTCTAGTGTATTAGTAGCCTAAAAAGACGAACATATAAGGGATAATAAAGTCACCAAATCTTGGTATTATCATACTGCACTAATTTAATGACTAAATTCTCATGTTGTTCGACAAACAAATATTTAAAATTAAATTTCCGAAGCCTATTATTAAAATTAACATTATGTACACGAATATATTTAAATTACCATTATTAATATAAACAGGTAACTCGGATTCGTTCACGCTACGAATTTCTGATAATTTTGAATCACACAAAGCAACAGCATCTATTTTTCACTGGCTAATCCTCAATCGACACTATAGCTAGATAAACAATGATTTCAGGACATCATCATAAAGCATTGTCATATCTTGACAATCACGTAATATGATTGATAAAATTGATGAAACTATAGACAAAATCTGTCAGAAAATTGACTTGTAATTATCATTAAATAGTGTTGTTTTCTCGGTATCTTCGTCCATTACAGATGATTTCCAGTACGTTTCTCTATCAGTTGCTCATTCAGTAAATATCTCAAAACCTTGTCAGTCTAATTGGAGGTTTAGTAACACAATCAAGCATGCAAATAATCAGTCGAGCAAATCGACTGCAAACTGATAACATAAATGTCGAATTTATCCCAACACTGACAAAGGTTCAAGTTATTATCATAGACATGTGTTGGGAGTGTACTTCCCTTGGTTACAACTTATGTTCTTCCTGGTAATCACATGAGCATCACTCGCTGTTAATCATCTTGTAAAATCTTATATAGACGAATACATCTTACAGCACCACATCACCTAGAAAGGTGGCACATAGGCTTAACTGATTTCAATTACTTATAATCACTATGTCTCAAAGAAATAGCATTCTGTCTTATACTAAACCGACACTTGCAACTAACTTGTATGTGCCATCAGCCGATAGGTATGAATATAAATAAATAGTCTATGGCAAATCAGAACATTGAGTCTAGAGCATATCTCTAACGGATACACTCATGTTTAACGAATGCTGAAGTATACCCCACCGATGGCCTTGAGTTAACGCGCGCGAAACTTGGAGCGTAGCGACTGGCATTTACGTAAGAAGTGACTATATTCAACGCTTGAAATGGATATAACCAATCAAAATATCCGATACACAACAAAACCGTAAATATCAGGTGGTGCTTAAGCTAAATTACAAAATATACTCGTTTGTAAACCACATTCTTAGTTGAACCACATCAAGCACTTAAATACTTAGTATGGTTCAACACGTAGTCAAATGTTTAGTAAAGCTATTTGATTTTCCAATTTGTTAAGTTTTATCACTAATCTCAATTACAAGTTCATTTAGGTTCGTGGAAGGAAGGGTATCAAGTTATCGTCGATAAATCTGCATACATGCAGATTTCATATTATAAATGGTGTCAGTTCATGAAGAAAATCTTAACTTCTATTTGCTGGAGCTAAACCAGTAATTATATTGCCAGTGGTAGTAAAGTGTTACGCCGAAAGCGTTACGCTTTTTGCGGTTGGGGCATAAGATTTTTGCAAGTGTGCAAGTGTCTAAGAAAATTTATCCAGGCCAAATTTTTCCGAAAATTCACTTAATTCTGGAAGTTTTACTCAATTTTTACAAGCTCTGATTCTGTCACAATTGTTAGCTGAAACGCTAGTATTTTGATGAGCGAATTGGAAAGGTGTTAACTCCATCATTCCATGTAGACATTTATTGTAGTCAAAGAGTGAAATCAAATCAGTGTAAGGTTAATAATGACACTGTTACCAAATCACTAGAAAACGCATTTGAATTATACAACTTTGAAACCTCATTAATAGCATAAACCTAAAGTCGCGTTCGGCAAGTTTGATCTTCATTATACCAATATGGACGCAAACTGCCCAGTATCGATTAGCCTTCATATCTCCGTATACTATGAAAAAAGGTTAGCATAATCTTGTCTGTCATTCTCTCGAGAGACATACAAGCCATAAATTATCAGGGTTAGTCATATGGATGCCTAAAAGCCAAGAAATAAAATTAGATTAGCTGATTTAGCTGTCACCTTGACATTAGCTTTCAGACGTGTTGATTTTGCATCGTCAAAATACCACTTCTACGGTCAATTTGTCTGTGAAATTCACTGATATGCTCTTACTATTCCGTCACCGGTTATAAATTTTATATACTTTTTGACCACCTTGAGTTATGTTTACAAATTTTGAAAATTCATATTTCTTCGATGCAATGAAAATAAATTCTGTTAAACCCAGTCATCCGAAATTTGAAGCTTAACCCTGTGAGCTTGGTACCAACTACTGCATATTGCTGCTTTTTGTGCATCATGCTCACGCCTGATATAATTTTTGATGCTGGCTTTTGTGTGTCTGGTCTCATCATTTTATTAGCTGTGATTCAGTCATAAATAAGGCAGAAGTTACGAGGGTACCGTTATTAAGTAGGATCTACTTTGATGATGACTGATGACTGATTGATTCGTCTTTCGTTTACTACAAAATGTATTGATATCAGCATAATAAAACTTATTGAATGAAGTTCAATGAAGTTCAGTGAGTTTCACTGACGACAAACCACTGACGAATAGATATAATACATGAAAAAGCTTACTATAATATTCTGAATACATGGAGTCACGATTTGGAGAGATTCACCAGTTTACGTTTAAATAAACAAAAAGTTCCATAACAATAAGCGTTGAACTCCACTAGTATCCAGCATTGCGATGAACAACTAAAGCAAATCAACCTTTACTTTAATGCAGCTCAATTGCCAAGTGTACGTGTGGGCATTAGGTTATGAGGTTCATTTGATTTCTAAGTGCTGGTGATGATCCTCAATGGCGTGGACATAAATAGGTGAAATAGAGTTGGAATGTGTGACTTGTGGTTAAAATTGGAATGTTTCAAACCTGTTTATCCATATTTCATTATTTGATGGTGTACTAAGATTGCTGCTGTACTAATGAAATAGTGAACTCCCTCAATAAAGTGACATATTAGTTTAACTTTGATAAATCGCAGAGAAAGATGGACATATTATTCATTCTCAATCCAGGAGATTGGATCGATGGGCAGAATACTTTACAGATCAGGTCAACTGGCCTTCAGCCACACTTCGGTTTCCCACGATCCCCAGTCGACCTGAATGGCAAGTTGATGTAAGTCCTCCAACTCTTTACGAAGTTGAAAAAGCTATAGGAAATCTGAAGCGTGGGAGAGCAGCAGGCCCTGACAGGTTTACCCCTGAGATTTTTAAGGATGGCGGTCCAGTATTAGCAGTGAGATTGACTGAGGTCTTAGGTAGAATCTGGGGACTGGACGTAATCCATCTGACTGGTCTCAATCACTGATTGTGCCAGTCTATAAGAAAGGACAAAAGTCCTCCTGTGACAATCACAGAGGAATTAGTTTGACTAATATAGTGTTTAAAATATTAGCTTCAATAATACTTCGACGTCTAACCAAAGCTCGTGAAGAGCAGACTAGAGAAAACCAGGCTGGTTTTCAACCTGGACGTGGTTGTATAGATCAAATATTCACATTACGTCAGGTCCCAGAACATAGACACACATTCATACGCCCCACAATAGTAGTATTTCTCGACCTTAAGGCGGCATTTGACTCTGTTGATCATGAGGTTCTATGGCAGTGTTTGTCACTGAAAGGAGTACCAAAGAAGTACGTCAACCTTATAAAGGCTCTCTACTCGAACACAACTGGTCGAGTGAGAGCTTATGGTGAACTGTCATCAGAATTGATTACCTCAAGTGGTGTTCGTCAGGGCTGTCCACTCTCTCCATTCTTGTTTAACTTTGTCGTTGACGTCCTTTTAGAGATGACACTTTCCTCATCTAAATTTCCAGGGGTTGAACGTCCACCGAAAGATTCACTTGTTGACTTAGAATATGCCGATGACATAGTTCTATTTAGTGAAGACGCTGACAGAATGCAGAGTCTGCTGACCACTCTAAGCAACAATGCAAGCCTGTTCGGCATGCGATTCTCTCCCTCGAAATGCAAAATGTTACTTCAGGATTGGGTTGCGTCGACACCCGAACTAGTGATAGGGAGTGAAGTAGTTGGGCGTGTCGACCGCTTCACTTATCTCGGAAGTCTCATCAGCCCTTGTGGTTTGGTGTGTGACGAAATCTCAGCACGGATACAAAAGGTTCGACTAGCTTTTGCCAACTTGCGTCATTTGTGGCGTAGGCGAGATATCCGTCTATCAACCAAAGGATGTGTTTACTGCGCAGCAGTTCGTTCCGTCCTACTTTATGGCAGTGAAACATGGCCGGTAAGAGTAGAGTATATTCGTAGGTTACTAGTATTTGACCATAGATGTCTTCGAAACATTGCTCGTATATCCTGGGACCACCGAGTAAGTAACTCAGTTGTTAGGAAACGGGTACTAGATAAGGATGGAAAATCAATTGAGGAAGTAGTGAAACTCAATCATTTGAGATGGCTGGGACATGTGTTGCGCATGCCCGACCACCGACTGCTCCGACGTGCTATGTTTTATGGTGTAGGAGTAGGTTGGGAGAAAGGTAGGGGCGGCCAGACCAAAACATGGTACAAATCCATGAAGTCACTGACAAGTGGACTGAGTCATGTTGGTAGGTGTAGACTACCTGGTTGGGGACCGCGAGACGATAGCAACCGATGGTTAGAGACCTTGAGTGACATGGCTCAAAATCGTTTGCAATGGCGCAGGTGCATCCACTCTTTGTGTTCTCTCAAACTCTAATCTTCTGAATTCTTCATGTCCTTTATTTTCTTTCCCAATTTATTCCACTGGACTATACTCCTTTAATAACATCATCAAACCTTAATGTCCCCTATCTCTACTTATACTTTCAGTACCTCTACCACTATGGGATTTGAATCGATAACTGAATCTCTGTGCTAATGTGGTATGGCAACTCGAACTGATGTACGTACGTACGAAGTTCCACGTTGTTACTGACTGACTGACTGAAATCACGGTCGTCAATGACATAAAGTCACTTGTTTTTACGGTAAATGGTCTTTTTTTGGATGTAACCTGTACTCGTTCTAAATAACTCTTCAACATCGACCTTTTTGTTAATCCTCTGTGAGTATTTTCACAAAGTTAAACTGTTAAAAGTTAGCCGACACATATACACACCAGTTTTGCACTTTTATTGGTTTTTCAAATACGCCAACAAAATCAAGACTGGATCTTGAAAGCTTTGTTTGACGTACACTTCACCGATGTGTCTCTTCTGCCAAACGTTCATTTCAATGTGTGCGTATCCCATATTTTTAAAGGTGTCTATATTCGTTTTTTGTTTGAAATTTACTAGTATAACAAGTACTTTCTCTTGTCAGATAAGACTACTTAGCGCAATTCCTCTCTAATGAATGCTGAAAATGTCTTCTGTGACAAAATATCGTTCAAAATCTTTCCCGGACTTGTCTGCTTTGGGAGATTCACCAGCGATGATTACGTGCTTGCGTTTGTTACTTCCTCAGATAAAGTAATTATCTCAACGAATTTTTCGTTTTTTATCATTACTTATGAATTTAGTAGTAATTCAAATTAATGGGGTTCAACTCGTTTTTTTATCTATGATTTTTGTCCGTTTATTAAGTTCAAATTATCAGGCGAATCGATGCATTGTGAAATAAAGTTACGTAATTAACTCATTTTTGTGTTGTTCACGAGATCGGTAGTCATGTAGATAAATATCTCTCCATTGTGACTCTTTATATTCCGAAATTATATTCTTCAAGACGATTATCAATCCCTAGACCAATAATAGTTTAAATTTAAGTATACTCTGTCCACTAAAAGATCCAACAATATTTAAGATAAGATAGTAGCTGCACTTCCATGTGTTAACTTATACTTAACGATCATGAGGTAAGTAGTTTCGAAGCATAGATAAAAATAACTGTTTGATTTTTTCCCCATCAAAATATATTCCATTACTAAATATGAATCAACTTTATTTTTTACTCACAACTAAATGCTTTTTTCATATGAATAACTGAAGTTACAGCAACTATTGAATAAGGGGGAAATAAGCACGTTGTACATATACATATAGTCTATAATGATTACAATCTATCCAAATTATACTGAACTAAATTCATTAAAATTTTTAAAAAAAGTCGGGATTCTCGGGGCACAGTTAATACCAGTAGGTATCATAATAAATGAATCTTTGCAGACGAACAAAAAGTCTATGGACAGAAGGGAAATGAGGGTTATGGGCACAGCTACGTGTCAACGACAGCGTGTATGTTTCCAGGTAGGTAGACGGAGGTTATTGTGAAGGAGAATGGGTATGGCTAAATGTTACAATATCATAACAGTAATAAGGTGGACGACAAGTAAATTTTAGCGAGGAACATTAAAATGAAATTTGTTGGGTTTACACTTACGAAAAGATAGAATCTGATCCTATGAGGATTACTAAATAATATACATGATCCTATATGCTTACAACTAATTGTAATTTCCAAATTAGATGACTTCATAATTCCATATTTCGCTTTACTGAAATATGCTAGATGCATTCTCCAAAAATATGGTTGTAGGAGAACAACCTGTGTTCATAATACTACATTAAATGAGTCTATGCTCATGGTTAAACCAATAAAATTAAAGATAACAAGTATTTTATTTGGGTAAACATTCATTCATCGACATAGTTAAATGGCGTTTCGGGTGTATAGCTGATACCAGTTGGTGATGAAAACCCGTATCTTAATTCATAACCCTAAATTCTGACCCTAAATATTAATCCTGATTCCTCATATTGATTTATCACTCTTTTGAAACTGGTAAGTAGAAGAATTGTCTAATGGTCACTTGAGCGTCGCTCAGAGGTTGTCTATAAATTATAGTTCTACCCCACAATAATAAAGTGCTCTTGATAATTAGCGAATAATCATTTAATTTTTGAAATAAGACTATCAAATATATTAACTAAATGAGGCAAAATTAGTTACACAATTATTAGTTTGATCTATAATTTTAGATGACATATCATATGCTTCACGTACATTCCTTTAGGTTTACATTTATAATCCGAAATTTCACCATTCTTCTGAAGGTATCACTAAAATCTTATCCCAAGGTAAGTACCGGTACATTATTTTAAACAGTTTATTTGTATATCTTTTCTAATTTTATAGATTTTATTAAATGTAGTAGTATTCATTCAATATGTGCAATTCATACAGGCAGATTTGAGAATACTTCAAATCGAAATGATCTATTAATAATTGGATCGAAATATGGTATTCTAATCTATGATTCAATAAATAATGTGGATATATTTTGGAAAGAAGTAACCATCAATTTCCCTTTTTATAGTCTAATTAATGATCTAATGTTTAGTTAAAAAATAATGGTGTGAACACAATTTTTTACAAACATTTCGATGAACAGTATAAATATTATAAGGATACTGATATTATACTTATTGGGGGTCATTGTTCATTGATTGGATTGAACTATTCAGCCAAAGAATTATTTTGGACTGTAACTAGTGATAGAATATCTGCAATAACTTGTTTGTCATATGAAAACGATGAAGAATATCACAATGACATTGTTGTTGGCTCTGAAGATTATACAATACGTATATTTCGTAATGAATTAATTATTCATGAAATATCAGAAACAGATGTTAGTAGTTTGTTTACCTACAAATATAAATTTTTGTTTACTTATCATAAATTTAATGAAAAATAAATGACTAGATTTATCAAGTTTATAGTATTTCCAAACATTTTTTAAAATCTTTGTTATCTATCCAGAACAATAATTTTGTTTACGGTTTTTATTGAACGTTCAGCAGTAGGGACATATAAAGTAGGTCTTGAAAAAGAAAGATTATTTTCTTAAACTAACAAGCAACTACTAAGTTGACATGAAAGTCGGTTATGTTTTCAGCTTTAGCCGACTTTCCTCAATCGTTTGACGTTTTGAATTCACTGCCAAAACAGATGTAGATTCACACATTGAACTCAGAATCATTAAATCTATTTAAGTAAGTATATTATGAATTTTCGACTAAAATTGATCGAATAGTTTCACATTATTTGAGCACCGAGATGATATGAGGCATTAAGGAGGAAGAATGTATTTGTAACATCATTTATTCGCAGAAATTTTACAAATACATTCTTTCTCAATGTTTATTTCAGTTAGTATTTACTTAATTTTCGAGGTTAGAAACTTACTAATCAGGGTTTCACTGACTCGTTTTATGCTTAAACTAATTCGCAATCTGTAATTTTCTAATTTACCACATACAACAATAGTAACAAAATAAGTTTGAAGCATGATAATAAACCAGAACTGAAGGTTTATGTAACAAGGTAACTCAATAAAACAATCTCTAAATTAGGAGCCTGCCGATTTATCTATTTCTAATAGGCAGCCAGCCAAATAGATGTTGTCATTAAGGACTATACTTCTTGTTTAACTTTGTCATTGACGTGCTTTTAGAGATAACACTTTCCTCATCTAAATTTCCAGGAGTTGAACTTTTATCGGGAGATTCACTTGTTGACTTAGAATATGCCGATGACATAGTTCTATTTAGTGAAGACGCTGACAAAATGCAGAGTCTTTTGACCACTCTAAGCAACAATGCGAGCGTGTATTGGATGCGACTCTCTCCCTCGAAATGCAAAATGTTTCTTCAGGATTCTAGACTTCTGAATTCTTCATGTCCTTTTTTTCTCTTCCCAAATTTATTTCACTGGATTACACTTCTTGAATAACATCTTCATACCCTAATGTTTCCGATTACTGCTTATACTTTTACTACTTCTAAAACTATGGGGTTTGAATTAAAAATTGTATTTCGGTGCTAATATGGTATGGCAGCTTAAACTGATGTACGTGCGTACGTAGGAAGTTCTACGTTGTTGCTGACTGAATGATACTTTGTACTATGAATAAATCTTATATGATAATAGTTATTCATTCTGGGCTTCTGAATAACAGAGTCTATTATTGTTTGGCATGGCTAAGTTACCTACTTTTCCTGTAAATACTTTTAAAACAGGCAGTAATTAAACTTATTTCACTTGGTGGTGAGTATTTTGGTTATGGTTTGCGAAATGGTACTATCGGTGTATACAATAAAGTGAATCGAGTATGGCGTATTAAAGTAAGTGGTTTAAGTATTAAATGATCAAATCTCTTATCAGATATTATGGTCAAAGTATATTTTACAATAGCATTACAATAATTTGTAGTGATTTAATGACCGTTCTTTTATTTAAAAAATGTTTTTCGCAATTCGATTGATGAGTAACAGAATTTATTTAGCTTCAAAGTATTGTGTGAAAGTACATTATTAACTGTGTAATACTCTGTTTATTTAGGGACATGTGTAGCATTCAGTTGTTAATAGAATCCAACCTTTTTACTTCAAATAAATTTTCGTCTGAAATTATATCCTATTCTCGTTTCCTGAAAATCCTTTGAAATAACTAAGAACAAAGTCAGTCTAAAGAATCATGTTTTTAGTTCGTATGGTTTGAATTTGAGTAATAATAGGTAGTAAACAAACCATTTTACTCCGTTCTGAAAAGCTCTTCAGTCAAAATACTTATAAAACTAACTTGTGTAATCCATGTTTAGAAGAGGAATAAAGTCCACTGAATTTCTGTAGAGTTGGTATCTCCGATTCAAACATATATATATATATATATATATATATATATATATATATATATATATATATATATATATATATATATATATATATATATATATAACAGGATGTAGACCTCCAAAATGTTATGATTTTGAGATAGTGGAGATGATTTGTAGCTCAGGTGGATGAATTTGTGCTAATTATTTTGTTCAGAAGGACAACGAAAGCCTCACGACTAAACCGACCAGCTCAGAGAACGAAACTACATCAAAAACTTCATAAATCTCATGTAAGTGTATTTCTACTTCAAATTAAACAGTATTTTAACAATCAGACACATCATTTTTTTACTTATTTAAGTCAAAAAACAAGCCTATGTGCTTTGTCAGTCATGATATAAATTATGATGGATATCCAGAACTAATTTGTGGTTGGAACAATGGAAAAGTAAGTCTTTTATCTACTTATCTTCATATCTCAACTTTTATGACAAATGAATCTGTTTTCGATAATTATATCTTTATACACCATTTTTGAGCTGATTTCCTTCATAGTGTTTGATAAGACTTAGCAACAGAATCAAACACACTTTCTGTTGTATTCAAGACTCATCACCGAGAATAAATCACATTTTATTAATCATTAGCTTTTAGAATATAAACTGAAATACCTATATATAATTTTAAACGATATTATTTATTATGCAATTTAAGTTATGAAAGTTATAATAGACATTTGTATACGGTTTTGTATATTAGAAAGGTTCACTTTTACACCTGCTTCTGTCTAGTGTGATACGTGTGTTAGGGCTCCGTTGTCAAACCTGAATTGGGATTGAAGGAGTTAAATAAAGAATCAATCCTCAATACAAGTTCAACATCCCTAGAATAGTGATACAGCCACCAAATTATTTTGATAAAGTTTTAAAATGCCTACTATGAGATAAACTGTCATCAATTGCTATGTATTGTTCAAATGTGACTAAAGACACTAAATAGTGAGTTTGTTGATAATTTCAGTTAACGATACAGGATCATTTCGATCCGTGTTAATTCTACCTATTTGAAGGTAAACAGCAAGATAAAAAATGAAACGAATTGTTCTGGGCACATATTCCTTAGAAGTTAAATGTTCTTACAGTTAAGAAAATAATTTTATTTTTCTTCCTATCCGGTTGAATTACTGATTCAGTAATTTTTTTTAAAAAATGATGGTAAATAGGAATTTTGTTAATAGAGATATCTAATAAATCACTCAGTTTTAAGGATTTACTAAACTTTGTATAATTACAATTCTTGTCTGATGAGTAGCATTTTAAAGCTTGACATTCTCTCATTCAAGTTAATAGCCCTAATAAAAATTTATATAACTATCAACTTGATATAATAATGCAAACCTTATTTGCGCCTGTTACTCATCGGGGAGGAGCATAAGTCGCCCACTAGCACACTACATCCAACCATGTCCTAGACAATCCTTTCCAAATCTTCCCAGTTGTTATTCATCCTTTTTATATCTGCTTCTATTTCCCGACGTAATGTGTTCTTTGGCCTTCCATTTTTCCGCTTCCCTTCAGGATTCTATGTTAAGGCTTGTCTCGTGATACTGTTTGATGGTTTCCGTAATGTATGTCCTATTCACTCCCACCGTCTTTTCTTGATTTCCTCTTCAGTCGGAAGCTGGTTTGCTCTCTGCCACAGAAGGCTGTTTCTGAAGGTATCCGACCAATGGATGTTGAGTATCTTGTGTAGACAACTATTTATGAATACCTGTACCTTCTCTTTGATGGTTGTAGTAGTTCTCCACGTTTTGACTCCGTACAGTAGAATTGTCTTGACGTTCGTGTTGAAGATTGTGACTTTGATATTGACTTGCAGACAGTTATTTTGAGTTTGATATGTTCTTCAATTGTAGGAATGCGGCCCTTGCTTTGCCAATCCTCTCCTTCACGTCTGCAATGGGTCCCTCTTGTCCATCGATGATGCTTCCCGGAATTACATAGTTGAACAGTTCTTTAGTAAATAAATTAAAAGAGCTTTCTTACCAAACGTATTCTAAATTTTTCCATAAAAATCTTTGAGGATAAATAACTGACATATTTGTTTTCTTTACAGGCTAATACATCTTTCAAATTTTTGCCATCAAGTGTGATTGGGTTGGTGTTCTCTGTGTTGTATCTGCCGACCTTGGTTTTCCCGTTTGTGTATGTTGAGGTCCACTGATACAGAGGCTGCTGCTTCACTGGCTGTCTTAGTCTGCATTTGTTTGTGTGTATGGGATAGAAGGGCTAGGTCATCTGCGAAGTCCGAATCGTCTAGTTGGTTCTGAGCTGTCCACTGTATTCCGTGCTTCCCCTCAGATATGGTGGACTTCACAATCCAGTCGACCACCAGAAGAAAGAGGACATAGGACAGTAAGCAGCGTTGTCTGACTTCATTTTACTCATTAGGAAACCATCTGTCAGCTATCTTCCACGCACGACTTTCCACTGCAGTCCATCGTATGAGTTCCAAATAATGTTAACAATCTTCTCAGAAACCTCATAGTGTCGAAGAAGTTTCCATGATGTTCTCCTATCTACAATGTCAAACGCCTTTTCATAATCAATAAAGGTAGATGTATAGTGACGAGTGCCATTCAACTGATTGTTATACATCAACAATGATGCATAAAGTGAAGCACAATTTATCTGTTTATTCAATCTAAATTTATACTTAGTCATTCTCCACATATGAAAATTCATTGTTGAAAAATACTACTATTTAATTGTCGAGTACAAACGTGAATTTTTCCTTTTTTGAGGTTGAACGAGTGGCTTTTGAAGTTGCTTTGGTTATATATTTTTTGTGTATGGTAAGTGAAATAAAAAGTAGTTCTAATACGTTGAATAACAGAAATAAGCTAACTGTAATATTGAACCTCAAAGAACAGCCACCTAAATTAATGTAATAGGGTAAATAATGTTGTTATTTATAGAAATATTATTGTTTGCAATCTAGTTTATCATTCATTTCAATCTATCTATTCATGTTTTATTTTATATAATTTTAGGTAGATGCTCGTTTGCGTTCTAATGGAGTAGTTGTATTTAAAATTCAACTAGATGATTGTGTCGCTGGTATGACAGTGGTAAATAATTCACTTATGATAATAGGTTAACGATTTTATTTTCTAAATTCTACCTCAAAATAGCTACTTCATCTAGTATTCCAAATAGGTCATTGACTTTCAAAAAATGAAGAGACGAGAAGCAGTTTTTAGGACTAATAGTAATAATCGCTGATGAATAGTTACATTTAAATTACTAAATTCTACAAATTTGTGAATATTAGATGTTCAATGACAGCACATTGTAAATTATCATCACTATCTTATTAAACATGCAAATAGACTATAATAAACCAAGTCCTAAAATCACTAAAACAATAACTAATTTCATTTGAATAACACACGGAGATCTTTCTGAGTCAGAAAACTGCCCTGGTTATTCGGAAACATTCATATATGAATAATATATATGGTTTTCTAGGGTCGCTGCTGGTCCCGAGCCCGGTAAATAATGAGGGTTGGGCATGTGGTCAGCAACCCCAAGCCGTAGAAAAAAACTTACAACTCCTGTCACAGTAAGTGAACTGCATTTCGGCGTAAGTTGGTCTTCTAGTAAAGGGTTCATAGCTGGCTGATACAGTTGTGAGACCCATTTATTACAGGTATGGCAACTCCTGAGAACCGGTCTGATAGCTTCATTGACTGTAATGATGCGTTAGCGCTTCCTTATTATCGAAAGGCTATAATTCAGTCCCGTGTCCACTGGACTCACGATAATAGCTGATGATAAGACGAATTACTAAGCAATTAACTGGCATTACAATTGATCGTCTCACCTAAGACGGTAGATTAGCCCTGTATAGGCGTTCACCAACTTTTATCATTCCATTCATGAATGTATGCGTTAAACAGCGTAAAAAACTAGTAGATAGATACAGCATTTTTGAACCTATAGATTGGTTCTTTGCTTTCTCATTGGTTGTACTTGAATAAGCTGAACCTAGCTTGATCTCGGTATTATAGCACTCCTTCCGTGCCAGTCAAATAATATCAAGCACCCAGAAATTTTTCATTTTATAAAAGACTGAAATTCATGTTTTATGACTATACTACATATTAGGAATCAGTGTTCATCCTTTTTTGTTGTACCTCATTGGTAAAATTAATTATAGACAAACTCTGGCTATGCTCTTGCTGTTTGAAGCGTATTTTGTTTAGACAGCTATCTTGTACCTGTCATTTTTATGTTTGACTGCTTTGTGATTTACTGTTGTTATCTTAACACCTTGAGTGTAAACTCAATTTTAACTAATCATGATTTATTGTAGAACAACATATATTAGTGTTTTTCTTTGAAATTGTTTCTCCAGGTTAGAGTTTTTTTAGCAAGGTCTATTTTCTATTGGTCAAGGTTGCTGAACCTGTGCCCAACCCTCATCTTTTACCGGGATCAGAACCGGCAGTGACCCTAGAAAAGCTACAGGTGGAAATCCATATATACTACTCATATATGAATGTTTCCGAATAACCAAGACAGCTTTTTGACTCAGAGAGATCTTCGGTGTGTTATTCAATGGAATTGAAATGGTATTTTGTCGATTTTCAGTGTGTAGCTTAGTTTGTAACTGTCTGTTAAGATGAATTATGACCTTCAGCTGCTTGTAGGCCGTAAATATAATGATGGTTTCTTTATATCTTTTTACACTCATTCAAACTACGTCACAGTTATATTACTAAAGAACGTCCATTTAGGTAAATAGTTTTTGTTGTGTTCGCTTTGCTACAATTACGCAAATAAATTTCACCGTAGTTATCTATTTTTAATTCCTTTTCTTTGAAAATTCACCGTTTGTTTTTTCATAGGATATTTCTCATAAATGAAACTTATATTAATATAATCGGATGTATTTAATTGTGCTGGAAATTTCATACTTTTCTTTTTGTGTATTTCAGGGTGATTACTATGGTTTTACCAATGTATTGCTTGTTTGTACCACTGAAGGTGACAGTAAGTTCAAAATTTTGTTCTAATGTCTCTATCTGTTAAAATATTATTGATTTTGTTTGTGAATTTAGAATTTATTAATGTAAATGTTTTTATTTAGCCGATAAATTCCACCGTATAATGTGATCATGTTTATGAAAAGAATTCGAATCACGCGTGCGGGATCGTGTATGCATGTGCTCACTAGTGGCTAGCATCGTGAGAAAATTCTAGAAGTTCTAGTGAGAAGCCGTGACAAGTGGAGCTAATCCGTGTCGGGTAGAGACAAGCATTCACCTCAGTACAATAGAAGATAGTCGCTCGATTTCGCAGATTGGTTGAGGTTGGACATCAACGCCGTTGGATGCCAGTTCAGTGGTTAAGAGGTTAAGCGTTCGCGCGCTAAACTGAAGTCTCTGGGTACGAATTCCTCGAGTGGGATTGTAGATGCGCACTGCTGAGGGGTTCCATACTAGAGTGGAACGGCCGTCCAATGATTTCAGGTTTTCAATGGTTCATGATCTCAATCCAAATGCTATTTCAATTAAATTTTAAAATATAGTCGATTCGTGATTAAGCGATAAATTGGGGACGTAGTTTTCTATAATAAAAACTAGGCAGCTGGATATATCAGCAATGAAGTTTTTCAATCAAATTTGACAGAATTATGTATATCATGGGACACCACTGAGAAAATATTCTGTTTTCTATAACGATCTTATATTATGATGAAACTTTATTTCGCCTTAACGGCAAACCAGTTATTGCGTGAGTCCAACAATACTCTATATAGTTACACTGTGCATATGTTTTTATTTCTATATATGTTTTAGTGTATCATTTTTCTGCATATTTTAGTACGCTGTTATTCTGTACGTCACTCGAAGAATCACTCGAACTCAGAATCATCTGAAGATACTTTATGTCATTTAATCACTAAAAGACAGGTGAACAAAAATAGTAGCTACTGAGTATAATATTATTTTTTACTAAATTTCATTTAATAAAGTTGCCAAATACAATGTGTTTGGTAAGCTGCCTTAGAAGAAATTGAGATAACCAGTTTTCTCTGCAACCGATCATTCTTTTTTGTCATATGTGCATCCCTTGAAGATTTCCTCAATGTTTTTATTAAGTCATAAGCATTATAAGCAGAATTGGATAGTGACTAGCAGTGGAATTGAGGATGTGCATTTCGTCAGCTGGATATACCTGCGTTCCAATGTTGATTAATTAAAATTTGCTTCACTACACGAGCTAGTGGCTATCTGGACTCAGTAGCTAAGTGAATAATGCAATAGGATTTAAAGCGGACGGTACTAGGTTCGAGTTTGGGAGTGAACATCAACTATGGAATGCAGATACATCCAACTAAATTCTCTTCTTTCTGAGTTAATGCTTTATTTCGGTAACTGCTTTTATAAAATTTGAAATATTGTTTTTTCAAATGATCGCTTCAAACGGAAAACTTAGATTGTAAAATAACTCCTACAAATTATTCTTGTTCATGGTATACATTTCCAAAGATTGACCAAATTAATTACTAAAAAATCTTTCTTACATAAGAGATTCCGAACAACGAGTATTCGAGTTCATACCTACTAAGAAGCTAATCAGTCACGTTCGTAACCTGTCGTGTTGTCATACCCTTACTAGATGGTATTTAACAGACTGTTTAGGACTGGTACAAACTTCTATGATTTTCAGTATACTGGGGATTTTATATGTTTCAAATGAAATCCATTTTCTTGTGCTTCGTTTTGCATGAATGATTTTACTTTTTCACTTCGGAAATAGTTAATTTTTCCACAACGTTACGACAACAAATGTACTTGTTCTGCTGATAGTCATAACACTCCTTATTTCTAAAGTACAAATATACTTTAACTGAGTTTCAGATTATATAAGTCTACCATTAAGGAAATCATTCAGTTAAGTTTTGACTGCCTAATGACACAACTAGAATTCGCTAACACATATCAATATGCTGGAAAATGACAGATAAAACAACCAGCTCATAGTTATCTAACATAGATCAAGCTTTCTTTGTTGGAAAAACTTTTGATCTATTTAAGTTTAGTCTCACAGTCGTTTAGTCACTTTGAATAAACGCTACCTCTGTTCTGTTGAGAGAATAACGTAGTGTCTGATATTTCAGACAGTTAAGTTCTGACTGCCTAATGACACAACTAAAATTCGCTAACACATATCAACGATTTCTCATTATGATAACAATGGTTCCACTTAAATCTATTTTGGAATATCCCTGAGAAAATGTGATATTTAATATTTTACTCATATATTGCTTATTAGCATTAATTAGTTATAAATATTGCCTGGTAACCACTATCGATTACTGTGTAGCATGAATTAATACTTAGTATGAATGAATTTTTGTTTGTATTACTTAAATTATTTTAAACTAACATTGTTGACGTTTAAATTTAGTACAGGAATTATTATTCCCGAACTACAAATTAAACTTCTATCACAATTCACAACAAGACTATTGAATCATTCAATCTTTATGAAAGAAGACATTATAAAGTTACATATTTTTTCTTTCGTATTTAGTTATATCCTTCTAAATATGTCTATTGTATTCAACAAACATAGGATTACTTTCAATCAGAAAATTTATTGTATCACATCCATATTAGTTTTATAACTGAACTTAAAATATACTGATCTGACGACTTTGCATACCATTAGAAATTAAAATTACATACTGAATATTACTAGACAATTAGTTCGTGAATCAATTTAACGGTGACGTAACCAATGACTTTGGTATCGTGTGTTAAATTTGATGATGTTATTATCGTCACTTCCAATTGTTGAAATAAGTATTTCGTCTTTTTTTTTAAAAACTGATACCATGGATACAACTTACTTTATATTATTCAATTCTTTATAATTTTTTTAAAAAAAACAGAACTTATTATTGGAGATTCAAACTATTGATCAAAATAGCAATTTATCCCAGTGGAGTAAGACTCAAATTCGTCAAGGAAACCTTAATATCATTAAAGTAAAAATACATATTTCTTTCTTTCTGTGTTATGATTTAGTATCATAGTTACAACTGTTTCATATTTTTACAATTGGGAATTATGGTTTTTTTTCGAAATCGGACTTTTGCTACTTATAAATAAAACAGTAGATATTCGAGAGTTAATTGTTAACACTTAGTTCATACATGTTTATTATAGTCTATGAATACCAGTTTTAAAGCCTGTATACAACTCATAAAATTGTTGGTGTTAGATAGAGTAATATACTTTTCAGTTGAAGAATTTGGTTTTCTGTACTACTAAATGGAGATAAGTAATCATTAAAGAATCTCCGTAATAAATTTGAAGCAGTTACTACTGGATATATAATTTTGTTCCATCACTCGGTGCTTAGTGTTGATGTTGACTGAGTAGATTTCAAAGTTTAGTCACTGTTAGATCTACCTCTAATCTGTCAGAATTCTGTAATTTGAAAGTTTTGACGAAAGATATGACAGCGTTTCGTGGTGTCAGTTTTATCAGTTGACTGAGAACATAGGATCTAAAAAAAAGATGACGTCAGAAGAGCAAACAGTCGGATAAGCACACGAAATGTACTTTAGTCCTTATGAAAATCTTAAGCAATATTATTCATTGTTTCACAGATGTGAATGAAACACAATCGAAGGACCAAAATATGAGGCAAGATGAATAAATAACCTTAATTGTCACTTGATTTAAACTGCTTATTTACATAAATCAATGAAACGAATTGAATGGTATAGTTAACACTTAGTTTTAACTAGATATTTACATGTACTTGTACTCAAACGACAAGATAATGTTCGGATTCGATTGCATTATCTAAACTATTGTTAGTTGACATGATGACATAAATAAAAACTATTATTCTAATACTTAATATTGAGATTATTGGGATTATGGATTTGAAAGTAAACCAGTTTACGTAGATATTTCTTTTAAAACTGTCGTGTTGGAAAATGACAGTTAAAACAACCAGTTAATGGTTATTTAATATAGATTAAGCTTTTTTTGCGGGTAAAACTTTCTATCTATATAAGTTTAGTCTCATATTCGTTTAGTTACTTTGAATAAACGTTAACATTGTTCTATTGAGAGAATAATGTAGTGTCTGATATTTCAGACAGATATCCTCTATATGACATCCTGATTTCATTCTATCACTCCATTTATAAAAATATCTATTCATCCAAATTGATTCATTCCGTGTGATGTATAAACCACCATTTTCCTAAATTCGATCCTTAAGTGTGTACTCATTTGATAATCCGTAAATTTTCGAGTTGATACAATAAGACTCAATTTATTTTAGACTCAAGTAGTTTTCAAATTATATTTGCTGAGTAAAAACTTCAAAAGTTTTCTAATTTTACATGTTCATGAGTTTAATTTACTTAGATGGAGTATTTTCTGCCACAAATGTTTCATGTCAAAAACATAACATTATGACGTTTTTCTAAAAGCAGTGAAATTATGGTAATGTTATGCTATAATATTGATTAATATTAGTAAAAGTCAAAAGTCATTTTTATTTGAGAAATAGTACCGTTGACTAAAGAAATGAATATATATATATATCATTTAGACAACTTTTAAGCTGAGATTGAAAGAAAACTTTGTCTGTTATGGACAGTTCTTCACCTACTTACGCCTTTACTCCTCGAGGAGGAGCATAAGTCGCCCACTAGCACACTACATCCAACCATGTCCTAGACAATCCTTTCCAGATCTTCCCAGTTGTTATTCATCCTTTTTATATCTGCTTCTATTTCCCGACGTAATGTGTTCTTTGGCCTTCCATTTTTCCGCTTCCCTTCAGGATTCCATGTTAAGGCTTGTCTCGTGATACTGTTTGATGGTTTCCGTAATGTATGTCCTATTCACTCCCACCGTCTTTTCTTGATTTCCTCTTCAGTCGGAAGCTGGTTTGCTCTCTGCCACAGAAGGCTGTTTCTGAAGGTATCCGACCAATGGATGTTGAGTATCTTGTGTAGACAACTATTTATGAATACCTGTACCTTCTCTTTGATGGTTGTAGTAGTTCTCCACGTTTTGACTCCGTACAGTAGAATTGTCTTGACGTTCGTGTTGAAGATTGTGACTTTGATATTGACTTGCAGACAGTTATTTTGAGTTTGATATGTTCTTCAATTGTAGGAATGCGGCCCTTGCTTTGCCAATCCTCTCCTTCACGTCTGCAATGGGTCCCTCTTGTCCATCGATGATGCTTCCCGGAATTACATAGTTGAACAGTTCTTTAGTAAATAAATTAAAAGAGCTTTCTTACCAAACGTATTCTAAATTTTTCCATAAAAATCTTTGAGGATAAATAACTGACATATTTGTTTTCTTTACAGGCTAATACAGAATTACAGACTAAACTGGAAGTTTCTCATGATAAACCATGTGTTAATTTGACAATTCAAACAAATGATGGTAAGTTAACCCATAAATTTTGTGGAATTTAACATCTTTAAATATAGCCTTCTTCATAGACATACCTCAGATTGCTAAACAGTTTTTGCGTAAACGTTCAGAACTGTTCATCAACGCGCCATCTCGAAATCTCTCGAGGTGTATAATGCATTCGGACCATTGCTTAGTGAAATAGCGTGATCGTTGTCTGATATCATTAATATCAACTATCTTAATTCAAACGTGTTAGAAATCCTCCATAGCTATAAGTTAGCTTGTTTGAGGATGGCATTGTTTGTAGATTGATTCGAGTATATAATAATGAAAGGTGAATATTTCACAGTATAACATAATGACCATTTAATTGAAAAAATACATTTTTGTACAAAAACTATTCACACATTATCATCTGAATTTTCGACTTGGTTATATCAACTTCCGCGAGATGAAAATCAAAAATGTCCTATTTACAAACAAATTTTTCCTTGCATACACTTCATGTTACATAATCTTTGAGGTTCTATAAATAAATACTTTCATAAATTTTCTTAGAACTAATAATTAATGATTAACAAGTAGTTCTCAACTGTTCCACCTAATTACACGTGTCAAAATGATATATGATAAACTAGCTTTGTCATAAGTGCCAATCTAACCATCAACACATTTAACTTATTTATTTTACGAAAAATGAAATTCGTAAATAATAGTAGTATAATCTTACTAATGAACAGTTTATTTTTCTTGGTGTTGATAATTACCCAGGAGTACATATTAAGTGAAGAGTACCCACTACTGTACCTGATATTTTTACTGAGGTTCATCAAAGTAAATTCAATAATTAGTATATATTTATCTTATTTATTTTAGGTACACTTTTAAGATGTGTTGTATTATTTGCTGAAGGTATTTTCAAAGAAGAAAGTCATGTTATGTAAGTTAATAATTTGTATGCATAATGTAACATATTTTTTGATTAAGATCATGAACCGATTGATGTTAGACTACCATTGAAAACCTGAAATCATTGGACGGCCGTTCCACTCTAGTATGGAACCCCTCAGCAGTGCGCATCTACAATCCCACTCGAGGAATTCGTACCCAGAGACTTCAGTTTAGCGCGCGAACGCTTAACCTCTTAACCACTGAACTGGCATCCAACGGTGTTGATGTCCAACCTCAACCAATCTGCAAAATCGAGCGACTATCTTCTATTGTACTGAGGTGAATGCTTGTCTCTACCCGACACGGATTAGCTCCACTTGTCACGGCTTCTCACTAGAACTTCTAGAATTTTCTCACGATGCTAGCCACTAGTGAGCACATGCAAATTATCAGTATGGAGGTCTAACATCAACATTATCAATGTAGATCCAGCCCAATATACACTGATTTATTTTAATAAACCTCTTTTAGGCTCTGAAAAAAGGGAATTAAATTGTTTAAAATCACAGAAATAAAAGTAATATCAAAATCATGGAATAGCTAAATGTGATAAATAAAGTTCATTAGGAACAAATAACATGGGAAATATGTCGATGTAATGACAGTGAACTCAAGATTAAAAAAATTATAATGAGAGTATTTGTTTAAATTAGAACTACCTATTCAGGATTTTGGACTATCTATTATAATTATCTTGTAAATATCAGCTTTGAAATTTGCACCTACTGACACTGCTGAGACGAAAAATCCATGGCTTCATGATTCAATAAGTTTGTCGTGACTTATTATCTGGGGATTTTTTCCATGACTAACTCCTATACCAAACACTGTTAATCGTTGGATAAGTACTGGTTATATATGAGTAGCTTATTTCTCAACTTGTTTATTCAATGATTGTTTGTGACCTGATCAGTTGGCTCGTTATTTTTTCTAAGTACTATATTCCTAACTTCTCACTCGGCGGTCTTATTGTGTTCAAGGAGTGCTCTGTAGATACAATTGATGGATTGCTAGTAGCCACTATGTTTTCTACTTTTATAGATCAGCTTAAGTGGTTATGGAATAATATAGAAATTAATGATACTCACTATTCCCCTATGTACATTGATAAACGGACATCCTGTTCCTGGCACAAGTTGGTTAGATCCAAACACAATTTATGCTAAGACTGATGTTTATTATGTAGAGCAGAATTTCTGTTGGTGAGAATAAATCTTACAATATAAAATAAATGAATTACAACTTGCACTGGAGTCCAAGCCGCACGTTTCGTTCTATTCGGGACTCGTATGGGTACATTCAGTTGACGAATTTCAAATAGAGAGAAACGTCTGTCTTGAATTTCACTGTTAGCCACATTCCATCTATTCCATATTAACTTGTTTCATAAGGACTGTATCGAGGCAATCGTTCATTATGCACAAATGTCAAATAAATCATCTTGCAATGTTGAAATTTTTGTCTAAAAGTTTTGAATGAGTGGAGTGTTAAGGTGTACTGATAAATCTTAGCAAAGATGAAACGTATTAGTTAGTAAAGTTGTTGCTTATTTTTGACAGTGAAAGCAATATATATGTTTTCCTTAATTTTTAGTTTTACATTGACATAATAATAAAAAAAATATTAATACACTATTCATTTAACATTTTAGACATCCTCCAGAGAATGTTTCTTATACTTCCACATTTTCGATTGAATTATATCCAACAAGAGATATAGCAACTGATGTATTCATCAAAGCATATGCAATACCGATAAACAAATGGCAAGTGAATATTTAAAATGAATATATATGTACACATATGTATTTGTAAATTTGAATTTTACTTTGTGACAGATATAAAATTTTAACCGTTAAATTGACAAGTCAATCTACGTTAGACCACGATTGAAAACCTGGAGGCACTGGACGGCCTTTTCATTTTAGTATGGGACTCCTTAACAGTGCGCAGTGGAAAACTGTTTGTTTTTCAAATTTGCCAAGAAATCCTATTGAATTAAAATAAACTACCTTTTTTCGCTAGAACTAGGTAAAGACTGATGTTATAAACGGAAAAATATGTAAACAGATGAAATCGTGTTTATTACTGGTTAAAGCAATTAGTCCCTTTTTTATAAATTTCGATAGAACAATGAGAAGACGGAGTTGATTTGAAAAATGTGATGTATTTGCACCATACATTTCGAACAATCTGGTCACACATATACTTGTCAAGGCATTTGATATGAAAATTAATAAAGATCAATTAAATAAAAGTTCAAGTAAAAAAGTAACAAAGAAGAGAGAAACAATTTTTCATCGTATAGAAAGAACAAGTTATCGCGTCATCCTAGGCCATAAAATGACTTAAGGATTACTAAGGTAAAATCAAGGTTACGACAAATTGTTTTCGTACACATAAGGGGGGATTAAATTTACAAATAGCTAAGATTTCAATAAACTTGAGAATTCGTCCTTGACAATTTCTATACAACGTTTTAAAAGCTGTAATTATGTCAAGTTTGTGCCCCGTTTCAACTATATGTTTTGCTATCGATGAACCTGACTTTCTACCTCCCACGTCGATCGGATCATTTGACGCATATTGATTTTAAAGCCATCTGGGCACATGTTCAATGACCCTTGATTGCATTGTTTGATTATTCCCTATGTATATGTGTCCACATGTAAATTGGTAAATACAATGGGATGTAACGTAATCGTTAGTGCATTGTCTAGGTCTATTTGGAATCATGGGCTTATACTTTTCAATTACAACCAATTGAGCAGGATAATAGGTTTTCTCGATGGCTGCTTTCAATCTATGTCTTGAAACGATGCTGTTGGATTCGCCTCTATATGGTAGATGGATATAAACTCTCTTCTTTGGAACTAACTAAACAATTACTGATTAATCGATTATAAATATTGTTGGATTATTTGATAAATTCAGGCTGAAATTTAGTATTTTCACTTTTATCCATAAGAATATGTCATCAGTTTTAAGTTTAATCGTTAGAATGCTTTGAAATTTCAGTGTAAAACTGATGCTATGAGAATGTTATCATTACAATTCTTAATACTTAATAGTGATATACTTATCAAACGTATATTCTTTAAAAGAAAATTTAACAGAACCTATAAAGAATAGAGAAAAAACATTATTAGTAGTAAACCTGGAAACGTTTCAATGATTTTGAAGTAAACCTATTTCTTTAACAATTCCAACTGAATTTCGAATAAATTCCAAATAATTTTACATCCATGCCTATTGTAAATGGACTTTGTTTTTAAAAAAGAACTATTGCGGAATAAAATTTCAACGTAAAATGAATACACTAAAGAATTTCATAATTAAAAACGTGTAAACAAATAAAATCAGTTTCAAACTTAATTGTTTATTGCACAAATTTTCATTTATTTTTTACTAAATAATAACAGTCAAGTCAATGATGATAGTGTTTAGGTTGACCACTTTATATAGTTCTCACGTTTAGATGTTACCGTCTGCCGGGGAGTCCGTATACATTTAGCATAGCTATTCGATTCACAGTTTAGCTATCAGGAACCATGTCAATGTAAAAAAAAAGGCGTGGAGCACATTGTAAAAATATAAAGCCCTATATTAGAATCGAATTTGGCGTTGTTTGAATCGACCATCTATTTAGGCCAACAACTTTGAATAATTTACTGAAGGTATCAAAATTGAATGGAACTATATTGTTCATTACGCAAACTACGTATTATTGTAAAAATGTCCCATTAAAGAGCCCTAATAAATCCACGTACTTTTATTATCATTGTGGCATCTAATAATGGACCTTTTTAGAAATAATTTTGAACAGATTGCTAAATTGAAGAATCAACAATTTTTGGAGTAGAAACTGATGACCTCAACAATTTAATACAATTTGGTGCTATATGGGAATTATTTTACATTTAGAATCTATAAGCATTTGGACTTCCATCGCCTTTTTAGTATTAATGTGTATGGCTGTCAACATAGATATGTTGAACACAGTCTTCATATAAAGATGAAACGAATTTCTTATGCATATCAATACTATTGTCAAAAGTTTTATATATATTCAGGTATGGAAGCTTGGGTGAATCTTTATTAGTCGTACATTATCCTGTATATATATAATGAGTGGATTAGGTCACAGACAACCCGGTGTTATTACATTTGAAAGTATTTTATTTCTGTTCTCAAATTTTTATCTTAATAGTTCAGATCAAAACTCCTACTACTTATTGGCTAGCACACAACTGTTGCCGCAGTTTTGCCTCTATCGATTACTTAGTCAAAATCCCAAATTTGACTTTCATGTTGATTTGGATAGTTTGCGATCAGGAGTCTTCTTTATAGTGCATGAACGACCTCAGAGGGTAAGTTAACAGAAAAGGTCTTCATGTTAATTTTATAATATAAGTTCTTAAAATAAATTATTTTATCACCAAAATGTAGTCTGAATAGATTAAATACACAATTGTATATTTCAATAGTTAAGATCATGAATTCATTGAAGCTAGACCACCATTGAAAACCTGGAAGCACCGGATGGCCGTTTCGTCCTAGTGGTTAAGTTTTTGCGCGCAAGATCGATAGGTCCTGGGCGAGATCATCGATGCGCACTGTTGATAAGTCCCACAATAGTCCAGTGCTTCCAACTTTTTCATGGTGGTCTAGCTTTAATTGACTCATGATCTAAACTATTGAAATTACTATAATATACATAAAAACCCCTTCTGATACTAGTTGTATATTTATTAAATACTGTAAACAAATGAGTTTCCCTGAAAGATTTTACGGCCGTTTGATATATAATTCTATTCAAATTATAATTTTACAAAATAAAATGAGATAATAAAGTTTGAAAATGAATTTCTCGAATAAATAAATATCAAGTTTACTCTTGTTACTTATTCTCATTCCTATGACGATTTTTATGAATCTACTTAAGCTTGCGTTTATACCAATAAATTGCAAAGATAATTAATCTATCCAGCCGGGGTTGATAAAATATGCATGAAAATGGCTTCGAACTCAGCATCTTGAAATTGTCTATATGGTCATAAGAAGTTAACAACCATTCTTTTCTATAACGAAGTATAATTAAAAGAAATCAAATACGTCAATCTTAAATCCTTGCATATAAACTGTAAGGCATGCACTATTGAGTTAATAGAAACTGTAATCACTAAAAATATTTTAAACTTCCTTTAAGTTTCCGAAAATCAATTGTTCTGAATATGAAATTACTTACTTACTTATGCCTGTTACCCCTCGTCGATGAACATAGGCCGCCAACCAGCACTCTCTCTTTTTATCTCTGCTTCCAATTCTCGGCGCAGTGTTATTCGATATTCCTCTCTTCCGTTTTCCTTCAAAATTCCGTGTTAGGGCTTGTCTCATGATGCATTTTGGTGATTTGTGTAATGCATGTCCTATCCACTTCCACCGTCTTTTTCTAATTTCCTCTTTAGCCTGAAGCTGGTTTGTTCTCTCCCACAGAAGGCTATTGCTGATGGTATCGGGCCAATGAATGTTGAATATCTCGCGTAGACAGATATTTATAAATACTTGTACCTTCTCTTTGATGGTTGTAGTAGTTCTTCAAGTTTCAGCTCCGTACAATAGAACTGTCTTGACGTTCGTGTTGAAGATTGTGACTTTGATATTAGCTTACAGACAGTTGTTTTGAGTTCCATATGTTCTTTACTTGTAGGAATATGAACTTAGTTTGGAACTATTTAATTTATTTTAATATTGAGATTAGTGCAACAAACTGATGTTCTCTAGATATTACTCAATATCGATCCTAGATCCTAAACTACAATTTATTTGTTTGACTTTTAGTAAATTTCGCTGTAACATATTACTGATTATATTGTTAAATATAGTTATAGCTTAATGAATAATGCTTGAAAATAATCAATGAAGTGTTTACTTATAACTTATCTCAGTCAGTCAGCTACAATGTAGGACCAGGCACATATATGCATCGGTTTAAGTTGCCACGCCTCATTAGCACAACAAGATGAACACCGGATTCATAGAAGTAGTTAATTTAGTGGTGGTAATATATAGAAGAAAGATTGCATATAAGGATATAGTACAGGAAGAAAGAATTAGTTCGTAAAAAGAAAGATATGAAGTGATTTTAATCTCTTAGTTTAAGGAAGACAGAGAGTGTATACACCGACACCATTGTGATCGATTCTGAGCCATGTCATCAAGAGTCTCCAATCATTGGCTACGATAGTCACTTGGACCCCAACCAAGTAGTATGCATCTACCAACATGGCCCAGACTAGAAGTTAGTGACTTCAAGGACTGATGCCACGTTTTGGTTTGGCTGCCCCTAACTTTCTTCCAACTATCCTCAACACCGGTTAGCATTGCGCGTCGTGGTAATCGGTGTTCAGGCATACGTAACACGTGGCCCAACCATCTCAGTCGATGAAGATTTACAACCTCATCAACTGATTTACCATCATTCCCTAACTTATCTGCTTTTACTGATTGACTCATAGTTGATTTTAAACTGATTGGAAACTCTTGAACAGTCTTTATTACTAGCTTCATTTACTTATGATTTCATCTAAATAGTTATAACTTGTTTGTTTGTACAGTAAACTGTCAATTTTATGCTTGCAATACGTACATTTATTTCTCAATCAAAGTTTCATTCCATGCTTTATTTTCATTAAAAATTCAGTGATTAAAATATGAATAATCTTAAAACCTTAGATAAACATAATTTCGGTGTAGTGGGTTCTGGCGACCTGCCTGAATATCTGAACTACCTGTTTCTGACGTCTATATATTTCAACAAGTTATCTATTTTTTTGTTTATTTTAACAAATCAATATGTCTATTAATCGTATAAACTATTCAAGGGTTTTTTTGAAAACTATACGAGCTTTCGCTGTACAAGTTTAAAAAAAGTATAGTCAGTGACATCGTGATGGCTGACAATATGCATTGAAAAGAAGGAACATTATTCAAATGAACTGCTAACATCTAACTGGTGATCACTCAATATTTATCGTAAGGATTGTCCAAGAAATAAATAAAGAAAACTTATTGAAATACTTTGTGTTGAGAATTCGATTTTATACCATAAATATAATATTGTATTAAGCCATTAATAACAATAGTCATTCAACAATGTGATTTTACGATCACATATAATATTATACTTTCATACGAACATTTTCACTTTTACTGATAAGTATTTCTATTTGATAATCTTTATGGTAAGTTATTATGCTTAAGAGCTTGAATTGCTTCTTATTCAATAACAAATTACCCTATAATAATCATTTTAATAGTTGAGATCATGAGTCAATTGAAGCTAGACCACCACGGCAAACCTGGAAGCACTGGACGGCCGTTTCATCTTATTGTGGGACTCTTCAGCACTGCTTACCAATGACTGGCTTCAAGAGGTATTTCCTGGAGTTCTATTGAAAAGCAGTGACCAGTGGAGTTCAACCGTGTCTGTTATTAGATTGTAAATCACTGAAGACAATTGTGGACGGTTGAGCAATTTCGTGAATTGGTTAAAGTTAGATATTAACACTGTTAGTCTAGAGGTTAAACGTTTGCTCATGAGAATGAAGGTCCTGAATTCGAGTCGTGAGAGTGGGATCATGGATGGGCACTACTGAGGAGTTTCATAATAAGATGTAAACGGCCATCCAGTACTTCCAGGTTTTCCATGGTGATCTAGCTTCAAATGACTCATGATCTCAAGCAGTAAACGACATATTTGCATCGTTTCGTATTCACTATCCATGTAACTAGTAAATAAATGATTATTTCTTTTGAAAACACAAAAAAACATAATGATGATTCGTATGACATAAGAAAATTACAATATATATTTTATTTGTATCTTAAATTAGCTTGCTATTTGGTTAAATCAAAATTTTATTCTGGGATCAGAAATTATAGTCAATGAACAATCTTCATTATTTGTTGTTTTTGAAGAATTACGCTCAACTAACAAATGGATTTCAACAATAAATAATTTAAATGAAATTTTGAATAATATTATTGTTCAACAAGAGAATTCAAAACGTTTATTATACATAACTATGACAAATAAAGGTGAAGTAAGTAATAAATGTATTTAATCATTGAATTTTCAATGAAATCACTATATTGTTATGATGTAATTCAAAATAAGGTTAATGAAAATTTCATCATGTGAATTAAACATCAAATTGGAAAACATTAGGACATTGAAATGTTTATTAACTTCATTTTCATACTCGACAAGTAAATGGTGTAGTGAACAGAACACCAATGGGTACAGTGGAATGTATATGACGCAAACTTACAGGACTTTTTAATAAAATCTAACAATCATATAATAAATGCTTAATTTGCAAAATGTTCATCAATTGTCTCAAAATGACTCAGACTTCATTGTTCTTGCATTTTCATACAAATTTTATTCTATTCCCGTTTTTTACTGCTTGATCCTCTTGCCTCTCTGCTGCCAGACATTCTGTTTACGACTAACATCATATACTAATTATGTCTACAAAAGTAGCACACACCACAATGGGATTACTTAATAGAATAAGTTTTAAAAATGTCAAATTATTCTAGAACTTAACGACTGTTATGTAACTTTGATAAACTTAACTTAAAGAGTAAAATTATTCCAAGTGCCTTGATTTTGTCAGTTGATCTAAGATACCTTTATTCATATACAGAATTGTATTGAATTAAGTTTTTAAAATAATCTACCTGATAAGACGAACAATGAATCCTCCACTTATACATCCATATACATGATAAATGTTAGTTTATTTATTATTATGTCTGCCTATTGATAGTATTATTTTACTTTTGTGTCTAAAATAATTTGTTCGAAGTAACCTTTAGAATATCATAAATCATTGAGATTTATTGGGATAATAGTTATGTGGTCGTTATGTGTACGAACGCTCAAGCATCTGCTTGCAGAAAGTATCTCACTTACTATCCATACTAGTTTAAATTCACAAAATTGATTTAGTTTTCATCACGAAATTGATAATTACATGTTTATTGATTAATTTTGTTCTACAATAAGAAAATAGAGTATAATATTGTGACTAATTGAATACAATTATGTCAGGAATGAGACAGTTAACATTGATCATATCTGATGAATAAAATGATATAATTGGAATTAATTAAAGTTGAACACATGAATTATTCAGTTCAAACTAAACAATAACATATTTTTATACTTATTGACATTACTTAAAATCTTCAATGTGTAATCATGAATACACATTACTGAAGAGTCAGTAAGTTTATGGAAAAAACATTTCTTCAAATAAAGTTAAACAGTTATTATTGAATAACTCTTGATTTTTCTTTTGTTTTTATTTTTATTTAAAAGATTACAATAAAAACTGAGAATTTAGAATTAGCTGCTAACTTAGTTCAATCAATCAGTCGACATTTTAATATAACAGAACTTTCAAGTACATGTGATTTTCCAGAATTATTTAATACATTAGAAGAATTAATTGAAATGGTTAGCAATGAGTTTTCATTTTGAATAAATTTACATTGGTCTATAACACTATAAATAGATAATGACCAGTTATTTACTATAAATATTGTAATTGAAAGTTGATAGCAATATTATTGAAACGTAATTCTATTACATATGAGTACATTAATGCATATAGCTAGAAAGAGTTATAGTTTACATTTGTAGACGTTATGGGAATTTAATAATTGTGAACTTATAATAATAATATTATATTCATTGTTAAGACCACAATACTACTTAACTAAATGTATTGCTTAGAAACTAGTATTTCCATCATAATATTTAAAAACAAATAAATTAGAAATTCCACGAATGAAATAGTAATAATAGTAATAGTAAGTAGCACATTAAGTGTATGCGTACTTTAAATAGGGCTTATCAGGTGTTCATATTTTCTCACTATTAATTATACTTATATATTGGTCTACTTCTATTGAGGCTCCAGTATATTATACAAAACGGAGTAGCACACATAAATCGTATGCCCCTGTCATAAGACAAATGTTAGTTCTTCTAACGATTGTATCTATTAAAGATTCTAAATCACACTGCAACAGTTTAGTGCTTCATATATATATGATGTTCTAGGTACTTGAACTAAATCACTTTCAACAGATTGTTATTGGGGTAAAATCGTTGCTAAAGCAAACTGATCAGATTTAACTTTCCTTAAGTGTTTATTTCAGAAAGGTTTGTAGCATCTTTGGAGAAAATGAATGTTATGCTTTTTTATTATCTAATTGTTCAATACCCCCAAATACCCTGGTACGGAAGAGAATGGGGAGAGTCGATTCCCCCTTTTGAAATGCTCTCAAATGGCCATGTGCATACAACCACTGCTAGAGAAGTCCTACTCACTACCTTCTCGTAACGTAGGTGTTGTTTACGGAATTGAGAGGACGAAAAGCGAATGTCCGGCGCTTTTACCAGGTTGGTGGATATGTGGGATCCACCTAGGGGAGTTGGAAAACCCTGATTCCAAACCAACGGTGCACATGGGATCCACTATCTTAAAGGAACGAATGGCGTATGAACTAATAGTTGGTCACCGGCTACCATGGGATTGCATCTCCTGGCGTCGCTTCACTGCCCTGTGGATCAGGAATTTAGGTCAAAGCCTCCGGGTGTGACCGCCTAAGAGAACCACATGCTTTGGTTTAAGCACTCGGGCAGTATTCCAGCCTTCACACAAATCTAATGATTTATGTGGCGCATAGCTATTTGGTGCCTCTTGTACCAATATTTATGTGTTTAAATAAATAAATATTCACCTCAATAGCGTATTATTTATATTCGTAAATTCCTAGAGTGTTCAGTACTTATTGTAGATTAATTTTTTTGAAAATCAAATGTGAATCATATCTTTGGAGTTTAAACTACAGTTTTTGAACAAACCATAAAAAGTATGATTTTCAAATAGATTTTTTTTCGTGTCAAAACCACTGTTGATAAGTTACATTGTGTTTATCACAACCATTAAATATAAAAATAATTAATATCATTCTTTTTGTCTTGTTTTATAAAATATTTCATTAGTCTAATGCTTATTCTTTAACTGAACAACAAGTTTTGATGGATATGACAACTAAATCAGATGATATCAAAAGATTAGTTGTCAAAGCAGAAGACTATAGGTTAGCCGGTAATTGGTATGTCAATCATTTATGATTTATTAATGTTTAAAGTAATTAATCCCTGTGATAAATTTAAGATAGTGTGATAAGAAGACGAAGATTATCAAAACTATGTAGTATCATTAATAATAATGAATGAAATCAATTTTTTTAAGTGAACAGCGAGAAGTTATTTTGGTTTTCAAATTTAAACATGATTTTCATTTTGGTCCTTAGAATAAACAATAAATAATTGTATTTCTTTCTTTCCATTTTATAAGTTTGATGCCAAAAGTGCACAACATCATAGAATGCTGAAGTTGGAGATGAAATCAGAATTCTTAAGGCTATTTGTCATGAAATTGAAACTTGATTTCTGAAAACTTATGATTTCATAAAATATATCCCTATTAAATATAGAATAGATGGAATACAGGTAGCAATGGAATCCAGAAGATACGTATAGCTGACAATTTCGAAAAAGGAAGAATCGCGCGTCATGCATTCCACCTGTGCTATAAAAATTTGCATCATAATAGCTATATTGAGGCGATTCGCATATGATGAACTTTTGTCAACAAACTCTGATCAAATTTCAGTGAAAATATCTACAACCATCTCAAATTCAGTTATTTCCTTATAAGTTGTTTGTTCAAAATAATATGATTAAAGCTAGATCTAACTACAGAATGAATGAAAGCTACTGATCCAATAAATGGTTAACACTGGAATAAAATCAATTGTTCTTGTCAGCTTTATGATTTCGTAATATAACATTAAAAGATGCCAATTAGTTTTTGATAATACAGTCTCATATTTCATGATTAAATGTTGTTGATTGTTCTGTTCCACGTCATAGCTGTAAAATGACTTTAAAAATGGAAGAAATTCGTTGTTTACTTCTACTTGGTCATGAACTCCTCGAAAAAAGTGCAAGGGTATTTTAGGACCACTGAGTGAGCCATGTTAAGATTAGATACAGAATAATATGCAATGGTATTGCAACAAACTCATATTTGATACGAATTTTAACTGAAGGATATGTTAAAATAATTTCTTCAATGGTATGATCGTCGGCCAATCCTCTTAAATGATAAATGTTTTCTGTCACTGAAACCTCAACATTTCACATACATTGCTCAATACATCATGAGTACAACAAATCCTATCCAATTCTTGTTTGTTCAAAGAATTTCAAAGAAGAAAAATGTACCGAACACTTTCGTACTTCAGCCTAAAATTGGGAGTACTTGATATGAGGATAGGTTGAAAGCATTATATTAGGAAAACGCAGATCAGATGTATAGTTAAATAACCAATTTCTAGCAGTGGAATCCAGGAATCGCGTTACGTCTTTTTTGAGACTCGTTAGCTGGATGTACTTGATCCCAGTGTTGATGTTCACTCGGGAACTCGAACCCAGTATCGTTCGCTTCAAACACGATTTCCATAATGGATATACTTCATATGATTTTATCTTTTTTTTTTTTTGAAGGAAATCTTTGAAAAAAGCAATTCAACTATTGTCAATCGCAAATCATGATATTATGTCCAATTATTATTCACGGACTACTAATTATGAAGTTTCAATGGATTGCTTAAAATATATAAACCAAATCATTGAACATGTTAGTTCATTAAGAGGTAATTCCTTTGACATTCATATATCGGCTATCATTGTGTTTAATTGAGGTTTTCTATTAAAGTAATTAATGTCAAACAAATAAACTAAATTTATAGATATAAAACTTGAATTTCAAGTTAATTGAAAATAACTGCTCTCTCAAACAAACCTCTCAATTTTTGATTATCCTTCCTTTTTAAACTCAGTCTCTTAGTCCGTAAAGACGTAAGAGTATGACGTGTTTGTTGCAAGTAGAAAAAAATTAGATTTCGATGGAGTTTTCTTCTCTGGGCTGGTTGGTTTTGTGGTGGAGCATTAATTGTTCTTCTGAACGACATCATAAGCACAAACTTCAGGTGCAACTGAAATGTTCGAATTTCTCGAGAACTTTGTGCTGATGTCGTTCAGAAGAACGATGAGAGCTCCACAAGCAAACCATCCAACTCAGAGAACAAAACTCCATTAATATAATTTACTAGAGCTACAAATCTTCACCATCATCTCAGAAACAAATTAGTTTCCAAATAGCACAGAATGCTATTAATTGCTATATACATAACGGCACACAAAATAAATCTGCGCCATAGTCAAGTAATGATTGCGCTGAACTGTTTTTAAACTATAGTTCAAACATAAATCCATAAAGATATATATTTGACAATCACAAAAATAGTTGATTAGGTATCAACATTCATGTGTATAAAATTTCATTAACGATTTCACGTTTCATGTTGACCCATGTATATTCCATATCATATCATAACTATTGATAATTAGTAGTATAATATTTTACGAAATGTTTATAGTGAAATAAATCAAGTTAATATATGAAAGCTGTTTACAGTTCATAAACTATTCAATGTTGTATGTATTCGAAATTTTTATTATCATGTTTTGTAGTCGGAAAGTTTAAAACCAATGTAATAACCATGTGTCATAATGCATTGAAAGAAAACAATATTGGATCATTGAAGAAAATTTTTCGAACTGGTTCGAACTAAAATTTTAATTCTACATTTACATGTGTACAGTGTGGATCGTTCGTTTAAATAATAAAGTTCATTGTCTTCTGTTTTCATCATTCACGAAAGAATGAGAATGTTCAAATCTCAACGGAATTTCATTGATATTGACCTTTACAAATTAACTGAAGATGATGGCATAGATTAGAGGAAGGATCGCCTTAACCTACTAAATCTATCTGTGTTGAAATTTTCAGTTTTTGTTACAATCGAATATTGATATATATGTCAGACAAACATTCATAAGATTATCACGCGTTTCATTCTATTTGAGACTGTAGATATCACTTCCCATGATAATGAAGCATGAACCTAGTATTCTTCTCTCCAAATATCAAATCGTTATCGTACAAGGATCTTATGTATATCATCATAGACAAATCAAATTTAGTCTTGATTATTATCAACCAAAAAACAAATTTTCACGAATAATGATAGTCAAACGTTCACATTCTGTAAATACGATGGACAATATGTGAATAATTCGTTTAGTATCATTTAAAACCGGGGAGATATTGAAACGAATCTCTAGAATTTTACTACTGTATTAGATTATTATTATTATTATTATCAATAAAAATTCTTAACTCCATTTCAGGAATCTCATATGAATAAATGATTAAGAGTCTGTGGGTTAAATTTTGATTTTGAATTAGACTTTCTATAAATTCAAGTTATTCTCCATATAACTATACTCAACCGTGTAAAATCTAGGATGCAAGATTCACAATAATTGTATGATTGGTTTGTCCGACTATAATAATCTAATTAACTTGGGTATTTAATAGTAGGGAGTGTTTATGACTGTCATCTCACCGGATGTTACAAATTACAGGACAGTTGATGACTGGAAAAAAAACAACAGCACAACTTAAAATGCTCCTACTTTTTCAACTGCATACTGAGTTTAATTATAATTTACAATCCAATGATTTATTGTCCATTATTTTTACCACTAGATCAAAGCATCACCAACTGATAGTTTCTAAAACTGACTCACAAAAGAAATGGTACACACTTAACCTATCGACATTAAGACGATATAAAATCGTCATCCACATACAAAAGTTGAAATCAGAAATGATAGGAATCCGGAAGGTTTGTCAACGCTCTATAGTTTTTACTCTGCAATAGATAATCTGTTGGAGATAACGCCCTCACCGTCTAACTTCGGAGGAATTGATCTCTTACGAGGAGAATCACTTATAGACTTCCAATATTCACATGATAGAGTCCTGTTCGGCGAGAATGATGATAAAATGCAGTCGTTTGACCGCTTTGTGGAACAAATGTACACATGTTCGTGATGCGTTTCTGCCCATTTAAATACATAGTGTTTTTTTTTTACTGGTCAGTATCAGGGCCTAAACTACCTATGGAGTCTAAGGCAGTTGACCATTTCATCTACCTGAGAAGTTTCGCAACTCCTGACAGATCGATGTTTGACAGAATCTTGGGACAGATCTAGACAACTCGATTGTCTCTTTCATACTTGCTCCACTTGTAGTGTAGGAGAGATGCTCGGCCATCAACTAAAATATGATTCAGATTTGTAAAGTAAGGACAGAAGGCCTATGGCCTATGTTATTCCTTTTCTAGTATGCTTCTGTGAGTGTGCAGACTTCTCTTGAACGAGTCAATTGAGGGTGCGGACACCACTACTTCGGGCAGCAGGTTCCAAGTATTGATGACTCGGTGTGAGAACCTGTATGCCAGGGGTATTTTGTTCGTTCTTGGCTTTTCTACTCGCCTGCTATGTCCTCTGAGATGTCCCGATCTAGTGGGAAGAAAAAGAGAGAGTAAGTTAGGTTTAAAATCGTTTCTCAGTATTCTGTACATCAAAATTAAATCTCCCCTTAATCTGCGATAGGACAGTGTGAAGAGATCTAGCTTTTCAAGCCGCTCTTTGTATGGTAAACCCCGGAGTTCTGGAATTGCACGGGTAGCTGCCCTCTGTACTTTTTCTAGGATATCCGAGTCACCTTTCAAACATGGGCTTGCAGCCTGAACGCAGTTCTCAAGTTTAGTTCTCACTAAAGAGGTGTATGCTTTGTTGAACATGATAGTATCTAGCTTTGTGAATGTCCGTTTTAAAGCCCAGAGGGTTCGAAATCCCTTAGCTGCGACCTCCCTGCAATTGGTCGTCGTCTTAAGATTCTGACTGACTGTCACCCCCAGATCCTTATGAGACCGAACCACTGGTAATTGCACTTCCCCTATGTTATATCAATTAACATTTGAGTCCCCGAAATGCATGTAGACACACTTTGCCGCGTTGATAGGCATCAGCCACTCTTTAGACCAGTTAATTATATTATTTAGGTCTGCTTGAAAAGCATCTGAGTCTGTGTCTCCAGTTATTACTCGCCAGATCTTTACATCGTCAGCGTATAATAACATTGGAGACTGTACTTTACTTGGAAGATCATTTACATACAGTATAAAAAGTAATGGACGTAGAACGGAACCTTGAGGTACTCCACTAAGTACTGGTCTCCATATGGAGCACTTGTAATTTATTCTTACCTTCTGTCTACGACCTGCTAGGAAATCCTTAATCCATTTTAAAAGGGGTCCAGCAATACCAAGGTTTTTCAACTTCAATAGCAGTCTATTTGTTGGCACCTTGTCAAAAGCCTTACTGAAGTCTATGTAGACAACATCCACTGAGTTTCCGTTGTCTAGCGCCTTTATCCAGAATTCCCTTGCTGAAAGGAGGTTTGTTGTACAGGATAGATCCTTTCTAAAACCATGTTGTTCTATGTTTACCAAGTTATTTGTTTCAATAAATTCCATTATTGTCCGTTTGACTATTCTTTCCAATATTTTAACTGCAACGCTGGTGAGGCTTACAGGTCTGTAGTTCTATGGAAGTTGTCTTGGTCTTGTTTTATGTGTGGGAGTGACGATTGCGTCCTTCCAGTCCATAGGTAATACACCTTGACTAAGTGACATATTGAATATCACAGTCAGTGGGGCCGCGATATATTGTGCAATATGTCTCAATATTTTAGGGTGTAGTTCATCTGGTCCTGTTGACTTTTCCATGTTTAAGGTGCTAAGAACCTTAGGCACATCGTCTTTGTCAAAGTCCACGGTGAGCAGGTGGTTTATTGACTCTTTATTTTTGTCTGGTTCTTTGTCCAAAGGAGGTTCCTGAGTGAAAACTGCCCCAAAATAGTCAGCCATAGCCTCTGCTTTGTCCTGATCTTCCTCTATCATTTCAGATTCACTCCCTTCTTTAATTAGATTTGGAATCCAATGATACATCCTTGTTTTGTAGTTTATGTACGAGAATATTCTCTTGGGCTGCTTGAGTGCTGATTGTGCCAACTGCATTTCATATTTTCTTTGAGCTTCTCGAATTTTTGTTATACACTTGTTTCTTACCGATCTGTAGTGTTCCATCGTACCTGCTGTGCCAAGGCGGATGGTGACATCCCAACATTTCTTCTTTTGTCTTAGTAAACGTCGAATATCCCTGCCTATCCAGGGATGTCTGTGTTTCTTCTTCTTTGGGACTGTCCAGGGTATGTATGGTTGAGTTACCCGGTTGTATAACTGCCTGAAATGCGTCCATGCCTCTTGTACTAATGCCCTTGAGTCAATTTCCCAGTTTTCAGCCGACGCTGCGGAGTTGATGGCCTCCATGTCTGCCTTCCATATGTTAGGACGGGCCGGCGCAACTGTTTGACAGGCAATCTCAGCCACGAATTTGAATAAGATGACTGCATAGTCACTTTTCCCTAGCGGTGGGAGGAAAGTCATTTGACCAACGTCATCACCGTGAGCGAAGACTAAATCTAAGAGAGAGGAGTTTCTTAAGGCATATCTTGTGGGAGTTCTAATATGTTGGAACAAAGCTAATGCAATCGATATTTCTAACAGTTTGAAATCGAATGACGTTATCAATGACCCGACTGCTAAGTTTACCCAGTTTATAAACGGTGCGTTAAAGTCGCCTACTACAAGGCTTTTACCCTTGTTACACCAGGACTTAAGTTTACTTAGGAGAAAATCATCTACCACGCATTCTGGACTGCGATATACTACAGCTAATTCAATGTCTTGCCGTCCACATTTCAGCCTACATCGCACCAATTCACATGTTCCTGAAACATGTGCCACTGTCTCAGCTACTCTTATAGTTAGGGTACTTTTCGTGTACAGGATAACCTCGCCTCACCTACGATTTAATCTATAAGCCCTACTGGATAAAAAACCAGCTACGTGAATTTCATTATCTAATATTTCCGGAGTTAACCAAGTTTCTGAGACAGCAATAACATCCGGTTTCTCTTTATCCACCATTGACTTAAGCTCCGCTATTTTATTGAGTAGGCTCCGAGCATTTGTGTAGCATACCTTTAGGTCTGTGGAGAACTTTCCCTTACCACCCAGAGTGGTTTGGGCATCGTTTTGCTCCGAACCTTTACAATTTGAAAACCCTTAAGAATGAGGTTTCTTTTTTTTTCGGCGACGCTCATTTATTTCCACTTCTGCAGCTCGTCTCTTAATACGATCAGCTAGGCTGAGATCCTCACGGACATATATTCCAGATCCAATCAGTTTGCGTCAGTTACCTAGAATCAGGTTCCTTTCTTCAACCGTGGCAAATGTTACCTTCAAGAGGCGGTTTGTCTGAGCGCTTTCAGAATCCACCTTTCGTCCTATTCTATAAAGCTTACAAATGCTAACTCCTGAAACTGTATCTGGGAGTAGTTTGCTTATTAACGACTTAATGTGACTGAAGACGTGTTCGAATCTAGCCTTTGGTTACTTATCGGAAGATTCTCTTAACTTATGAAAAATGACTGACCTCTCAGAGAGATCTGTCTTGACACTCAGTGGAATTTTTGTTTCTGATACCGTCTCTTCCAATCACTTGCTTACCAGCTGCGGTTTGCCTACAGCTTTTTTCTTCTCATTTCTCTTTCTCCGTGCTGGAGTCCATTTATCCTCACTCAGGACAGCCACACTGGGGCTATTTGAAACGATGACAGTGTTATCCGGGTCTTCAATTTCCACTAAAGTTGTATGATTTCCAATGTCAATATTTAGCGGCACTTCACTCCTCTTTAATGTTAACGATGTTTTTACTTTTCCATCAATCACAGTCGGGTGTTTAACGTGTCCGGTAGCAGTACTTACTACACTGACACATTCTTCACTGTCAGTTCTCGTGGTGTCAGGACAACCGCCATCGATTTTCTTACAGGCCAAAGCCAATAGGCTCATAGCCTCCTGGATTAATAACTTTTTATTTGTACAGCAAAACATACAAAGCCAATGCGAGTTTGGCTTCGAGCATCTTTTGTATGCCGTAGGACTTAGACGGGTACACATCTTATGGTACCACTTTTTACATTCACCGCACTGCATTCCTTCCTCAACGGTGAACAAGCACTTCGGTTGTCTACATTTATAGGTCTTACTAACCATTGTAATTTGATATAAAACTTTTAAAACACACTATGATCACAACGTGAACACGAGTGTCAGTCAATGAGTAAGCGAGAAGGCACCACTAGACAAAGTTTAGAAAAAATCTCGAACTATGACCAAAGTACTTTTAGTTAAAATAGACAAAGAATGCTTTCTGTTTCCACTAGTACACAAAGCAATGATAATCACAGCTA